GAGACCCTGTCTCTACTAAAAATAGAAAGAAATTAATCGGACAACTAAAACTATATAGAAAAAAAATTAGCTGGGCATGGTGGCGCATACCTATAGTCCCAGCTACTCGGGAGGCTGAGACAGAAGGATTGCTTGAGCCCAGGAGTTTGAGGTTGCTGTGAGCTAGGCTTACGCCACGGCACTCTAGCCTAGGCAAAAGAGTGAGACTCTGTCTCAAAAAAAAAAAAAAAAGTAATAGTTGTCTACATTAAATGCAAATTTAACTGAGTGTCTTGTATTTTTACTGGTTAAATCTGTCAATTGTAAACCAAGGAAAGGTGAGAACCACCCACCTTAACTTCAATTTCTGCAAAGAAATATTAGCAGAAATTGAGTCTCTGAGAAATTTTCGACACTGGTATTTCTCTAGTGATATTAGAAAAAGTAAAGAGTAGCACTGTTTTCTCCTTACTCCTTGTTTTATTTTTTTAAACAGATGACAATGGAGAGCTGAATAATAGTTATTTGCCAAGAATAGTTCTACTGATGCACCGATGGTATTTATCTTCCACTGAATTGGCAGAAAAACTTCTTTGCATATATCTTTTCAACTACTGTGTAATTTTTATAATCATAAATCAACTTCTATATTTAGATAGAGTGTCTATCCAAAGCCAGTAAATTAAGATGAATAAACAATCTTCAGTCAGTTATCCAGCTGTTTTGTGAATATATATATAGATGTCTAGACAAAACATCTGGGTGATGGACCAAATAGTTGACAATCCATCTGCATGTTTTGGCTGTACTTGGAAATAATCGCTAAGATGTAAAATGAAACAGGAACTGTAGGCTGAATGTTTCTAACTTGTCTTAAACGTGTCTGCTCTTAGTACAATGAATGAATATTTAACAATGATTCAAGACCTAATTTATTTCTTCTAGGATGACAAAATGGTAGGCATAGAGGATACAGCTTAATCATATGGAAATGTCAGCCAAAGTAATATGCTCTGGCTCAGGCACAAACACCAACTTAGTTTTCACATCTTCCCTTGCTGGCAAGACACAATGAACATTCTAGCAGGCTTATTGTAATTTGTTGGTTGATGCTAATTTTAAATTTTCTTCTGACATTAAAAGACCCAACCAAACAAAATCCACAGAGTTAGAAACCCCATTCCATAATGAGGGCTGTTAGCAGTCTACCTCTCTTGTACATCACGTGGTCCTAAAAAGTGGTTGAAAGCCAAATGACTGAAAATGCAGTCTCCCATTTGTAAGGAGGCTTTATTCCCTGACATCTAATGTTTATTATATAATCTCTAATGTTGATTCCTGCAGCCTCTGCCCTCTTGAAGCCCAGGGGGCCCTGGAGATGAGTGAGAACCCCTACAGAGCAGGGGGATCCTTAGAGGGAAAGGGTCCATCAGATGTTATTAGGGCCTGCCAAGGCTGCCTGGGCCAAGGGGGGCTTCCACCTGTTCAGTTCAAGCTTTCTGCACTTCCCACTTCTTCCTTAACCTCAGAGATGTTCACGCTGAACCGAGGTCCCTGGAAGTGAGCAAGATCCTAGTTCCCAGCGGTCTAAGGGGTCCTGTGGGTCCCACTGTGGAAGGGTAGAACATAGGGCATCGACTCAGTCTGGCCCCACCCTCTCCATGGTCCAGACATTGTCCAAAGCATGTGCCCACCAACAGTGTTCTCCCCCTTAGTGTGGCCACTGATGTGGGAAATAACAAATAAAAAAAGGATATTTAGGCACAATGAAGTTTACTATGGGAAAGTACAGATTATATAAAAGTTGAAGATGCCTGTGAATCAACACTTATTTAAATTTTCCTCCCTTTGGATTCCTTGCTTACTCTATATCCACAGTGCCTGACTTATAGCTCAATAAATATTTGTTTAAAAGAATATGAATAAATAGACTTAAAAATAAATAACACAACTTGCATATTAATATACCTGAAAATGGCATTTTCAAATACTTAAAAAGAAATTAGAGGCCAGGCATGATGGCTCACACCTGTAATCCCAGCACTTTGGGAGGCTGAAGTGGGAGGATCACTTGAGGCTAGGAGTTCGAGATCGGCGCGAGCAACATAGCAAGACCCCATCTGTAAAAAAAAATTTTTTTTTTTTAAATCAGCCAGGTGTGGTGGCACATGCCTGTAGTCCTAGCTATTCAGTAGGCTCAGGTGGGAGAATTGCTCCAGTCCACAAGTACAAGCTACAGTGCACTGTGATTGCACCACTGCACTCTAGCCTGGGTGACAAAACAAGACTCTGTCTCCAGAAGGAAGGAAGAAAGGAAGGGAGGGAGGAAGGGAGGGACGGAGGAAGGGAGGAAGGGAGGAAGGGAGGAAAGGAGGAAGGGAGGAAGGGGAAAGAAATTAGAGTACTTACACAGTCATGTGTCACTTAACGACAGGAGTATGTTGTGAGAAATGTATCATTAGGTGGTTTTGTCGTTGTGGGAATATCATAGACTGCACTTACACAAACCTAGATGGCATAGGCTACTATACACCTATGCTATATGATATAGCCTATTGCTCCTAGGCTACATACCTATACAGCATGTGACTGTAGGCAAATATAATGTAATAGCATGTATGTGTGTATCTAAACATAGAAATATACAATGTAAAAGATAAGAAAATATTGTACATGTATAAACACAATGAATAGAGCTTGCAGGACTGCAAGTTGCTCTGGGTGGGTCAGC